TTTTACCTCCCTTATGAACAATATGCTTGGAATGTAATCATCCTCCATTTCAGGTCTTTATTTGATTAGATGGAGATAACTGTCGAATTGCTTATGAAGCCTGTATGTCTAACCTCCATCCTGGTTTGTATCCAGGGTCCAATGAGATTAGCCTGGGCAGCAAACTGTCGTCTCAGCCTTTCATGGGCATGTTGACGTGCCATCTCCTCCTGGAGGGCACCATCTCTCTGAGGAACCAGCTTCTTCACCTACAAACACACACAAAGGGCAGCTGTATCTGTAAGACACTGGCTCCCCCTGTAAACAGCCAGTAACATTAAACAGAATTATGCTCTTGCATAATCCGACATTTCAGATAAAGATAAAGTCTATAAATACATATCTTGAACTAATACAGTGTACAGTATGTTGTTAATGCGGTCACATATGACACAGGTGGAAATAAATCAATTTAACGAAAACATACCAAACACTAGAGGAACATTGTTTCACTGTATTTGGTAATGCCGAGAGATTAACACAGTCTGGGAGAGGATAAGAGTTATAATCGACAAGATCACTTCAAAACAAATCTTATCTTATATCCACAGAAACATAATTACAGTAAAATAAATGAGCATTTGTAGACCTTAAACTGCTTTACGCCAAAAATCGTATTGCACAATTGCGGAAAAAAACAATCAAACCATGCGATAATGTATAAGACAGATGTTATCAAGCATTCCATTGAAAGGATAACTTACATTTTAAAGGCTAAACAGGCACCTATTTAAGAATATGTGGAGGTCTTTCATTAATTATGCATGTAGAATTTAAATTTTTCTCCTGAGAACTTGTTATATTTTGCATCTATTGAGCTTAATATGACAGTAGTGCAGTGGTTAGCATTGTTGCCTCACAGCAAGATGGTTCCTGGTTTGAACCCAGGGTGGGGGAGTCCTGCTGTGCGGAGTTTGCATGTTCTCCCCATGTCAGTGTGGGTTTTCTCCAGGTACTTTGGCTTCCTCCCACAGTCCAAAGACATGCAGGTGGTGACTCTAAATTGTCCGTAGGTGTGAATGTGAGTGTGAATGGTTGTCTGTTTCTATGTGTCAGCCCTGTGATAGTCTGGCGACCTGTCCAGGGTGTACCCCAATAGACTGCATTCATCCGTATACATGTAAGATTCTCCATCGCCTGAATATTGTCTATGATGGTTGGAACTACAGCACTATTATAATCAACATCTGAAAAATCCTCCACCAGATTTGGATGACCCAGTGCTGAAAGCAGTTTTATGATCCTACAAGTCAGAATTAAACAAAGGTATTTTATTCAGACTATATTAGAGTTTTATGTCAAAGAAATCCCATTCCACAAAGTACCTTAAAAATAAATGGGAAAACATGCAGAGAATCTGGTTGGAAATCTCTAATTAGATTTTTCATTGCCCCAAAGCAGAGACCACACTTTACAGGAGAGGCTCCCAAAGTGCTGGAGATTGTGTGGGAGCCAGGATGCAAATCACTAGCATATATTTTGGTCCTGTAATAAGACAGTTTTGGTCTGAGATGCACAAAGTATTGGAAAGCATACTTAACACAGAAATACCTTTCCTATTTAGACTTTTATTTTAGGAAAGGCTGACTTTCAACCTGGACACTTTGACGAATACTTGTTCTGTGCTTTGATATCCGCTGGTAAGAAAACCTTCACAAGACATTAGCTGCTTCCTGAAGGTACGTTTTACACAGCTTTTCCACTTTCTTTGAGTCAGGGTTGTGTTATATGAATGTAAAAGGCTGTATTCTATGGTGTTAAATAATAGAAATAACATATTGTGGGGAAAAAACTGAATTATGAGAGTACAGTATCATGCTTTAGATTGTTACTGCTCGCTCAGTCCTTCAACTCAGTGTTAAATAACTGGAGGAGCACTTCTGTACTTTATTAGAGGAATGTGCATATTGTACTCCTTGCTCCTTTTTCATAATTAAAGCTTTCATATGGCCAGACAGGCACTGTCTGAGTCATGACTTCATTCCTCGATATATGAGTCTGTAAGTGAGCATTAAAGCTACCTTTTCCCACTTGTTGAGGAGCTCCTCAGTTGTCAGGGTGCTGTACGGGTTGATAATGTTGGCCTTGATCCCATAGCTCTGGGAAATTTTCTGCACCTCATTGTGGATTCCCAAGATGGCCTGTCTCTCTGCATCCGCCTCGGGTAGAGTCGCTTTGAACTGCTCATGAGCTGCGATTAGACTCTGGAATGGGAAAAAGGGAAGTCCTGACATTTTATTAAAATTTCGATTTCACCACGAGCGATAACATTATGTGTATTATGCATGTTTCTTTTGGCTGTGACAGGTCCAGCAACATTACTCACTATATAATACGAGACTACAGACATAAATCATGGGAAAAGTGTGAGCTGGTTCATGTGAAATGAGCCTAGAAACTCACAAATGGCGGAAAGTGTGTGAGCCTATAATGCTTCGTGTGAGCCTACCTGGACCTCCTCAATAGTATGCACTATGAACATGTCCTGCAGGTCCTCCATGGCTCCCTCCATCCAGTTGTTGAAAGGCGCTGACCTCTTGGCAAACTCCAGGAACAACTGATCAATAGTCTCCAGCAGCTTCTCTGTTCGCTGAGGATTACAAGATATCACATGTCTATTTTGTACATTTCCAAATCCACAAAACCTCAAAACATCCGACCTATAGCTCAGTGTCAGGCTCTGCCCTGAACTAAGGAGGAGTCCTCATCATCATTTCTCACATACAAATCCCAAACAAACACCCCCTCACCTGTTTTGATAGCTAATCCGAGGGCGCATAACATTGGCATGGCCTTGTTAACCTCCAACTCTGGTTTGGTTGTCCCCTCCCCTCAGCAGCCAGCGGATGGCGTGGAGCAGGAGACGGACAGACAACAGACCCCTGTCCCTGTCATTCAGACTTTAATCCTTGGCCCTCTTCCAGCGCCCTCACACATTTGCAGGTCTGGAATGGCCAGCATGGATCAGAGGAAGTGGCTGGTGGGCTCTCAGCCAGTCACTTCCTGGACAGGACTCTTACATCTATTTCTCCTTTATCCCCTCCACCCTCCCATTTTACCATCCTATCTGGGTCAGGGATTTTAAAGGGGATCCAATTATCTCTCCTCATCAATCAGCTGTGTCCTCACTATTGAGATGTCATTGACAGACACCTATATATGCTTACACTGACATTTTGATTAAGCTGGTTTCAGACTTGCAACTTCATACTGCATCCATTAGGGTCCGTGTGGAACATTAGCGCACTCTTGTGGGGGATTACTTACTTACAGTGGTGGAAAGTAACTTAGAACATTTACTCAAGTACTGTACTTAGGTATAAAGTCAAGGTAATTGTTCTTTACTCGAGTATTTCCATTTTCTACTACTTCATACTTGTACTCCACTACATCTCAGAGGAATATATTGTACACTTTTCTCCCCTACAGCTTCAGTTACTTTACAGATTACAGTTTTGTCATCCCCTTCCTGTCTAGTGAGAACCATGTATCTCTGTTGGTGATAAACTGAAGGATGAAGTGTTCCTTTGTGGGTTGAGAAAATCCTCCTGCCTCTTAAGCTAAATAAACTATTCAAAAACCCTCTTGGATCAGCCGGAAAATGCATCAATACAAAACTGAAAACAGGCTGTTTTTTAACACCATGAAAAGTTTTTGAGACACATGGTTCTCTATGTCTCAAACATATGATAATCTTACAGAATATAATGCATTGCTGTAGATTAAACTAAGCAACAGCATAAAAAGGAGTGAAAATAAGCACAACCTTAAACATCTACAGCAGTAAAATGAAACATACGCATTGATGCACCAGTATTATTGATCCAAAATCATCATATATAATAGTAAAACACTGACAGGGAAGATTTTACCTCACAATGAATACTTGAGGTCTGTCAGGTTGGAGAAATTGTTGCAGTAATGTGACCAAAAATATTAAAGCCCCTTTGAATATGAAATTAAGACAATTTAAGACTTTTTATATCCAGAAAACTTCATTTAAGATATTTTAAGACTTAAGGACCTGTACACACCTTGTGTAAGTACATTTTGATAAAACTTATTTTACAGTTGGTATTGGTACTTTAAATTACTTCAGTGAAGGGTTTGAGTACTTCTCATGTCACTGCCTACCTATTTATATAGTTTTAGCAGCTAACAAGTGATCTCAAACACTTAAGCCTATGAGAAAATTGATATGAAAGTGGATGTGAATGCCTTGTCATAATCTTACACATCAAGTCATTCATACCAGACTCCAATGTTGCCCTCACCTCCAGTGCCTCTCTCCTCTTCTGAGTCAGGGTTCCCAGCTTGTCCCACAAGTCACAGATGCTCTGGCAGCGCTGGTTCACAGCAGCCACGTCATGATAGTCCAGCTCACTGGAAAAACAAAGCACGAGCAGCTGTTTCAGTTGTGGAAAAGAGTTTTATGGTATTATTGCTCCCCAGGCATTTAGGTGCCTTTTTATGAATAAGTACTGGAAACTGTCATGGGACACCCCAAAAAAAAAAAAAAAAAAAAAAAAAAAAAAAAAAAGTGTAAAAGGAAATGTGCACTGCCCAACTTTGAGAGTGGAATATTTAGTAAATTAAGGCTTTTTTTTTTAATATGATACAAGTAGGTTATGTTGTGGGTGCTAGAAAAGATACTAAAGAACCAGAGTACAAAAGTCTTAACTTCAGTTTTGACTCAATATTGGGAAGGCAAAAAATGTTCCCCTTGACGCAAGTTTAAAAGCTTCACCATATTTTTATTTTGGATACTAGGACATGCAGCCAATAGTTTAACACCAGGCTTTGTGTGCACTTCCCCCAGTCTGACTTACAAGTTATAACATTTGAGCTGCAACACTCAAATGAGTTTTCCATCATGCTTAGTGGATTTAGCATTTCCTTTGAATAAACCCTCTTAAAATTTAAGCCAACTCCACCCCACCCACAGAAAACAGATGCAATAATTCATTTACCATTTTATTCAAATTTCAAAAGCAACTTGAGCACAAACACCAAGATACACGTCGGAGTAAATGAGACTAGAGTCGCCTTTAACCTCAGCTGCTTCAAGTTGTTTCAAAGTCCTACAGTCCTTTTGAATTTTGGTAGTCCTGCTGAGTCTGGCTGGGGTTGGCCGGACTTTGAACCTCAGGGTAGTGGTATCTCTCATAGTGATCTTCATCCCAGTGATCGCTTCCTTGCTCATAGTTGGACTGAAAGTGAGTGTAAGTGCCAGGAGGAAGCTGACCGGTCAAGAAGCGGTAGTAGAAGCTTGGTTCACGTGGTGTCAGCGGTTGTGGAACTGGCTGCGCGGGGCCTTCCAACGTGGAAGCAGCTGCCTCGGCTTCAAGTGGCACCCAAACAAAGGGAGGTGGTGGCATGAAACCTTGTTCTTCTGTTTCCCGCTCTTCGTTTCCATGCTCAAAGGTTGACTCGTAATGACTCAGCTCACCAGCCTGGTAGCCAGGCTCTGGAAATGGAGGAAGAGGAGGAGGAGGTGGCGGCAGGGGAAGACTCAGCTCTTCAGATTCTACTTCCGAATTACCGTGCTCCATGTTTGATTCGTAGTGGTCGAGCTCGCCAGCTTGATAGAAAGGAGACCAAGCAGGGGCAGCATTCCATGAACCAACACTGGACATGTCTGGAGCAGGACCAGAGCTTCCTGGATAGCCTCCAGCACTAGAATACACTCCCTCCTCTGATGCATATGGGTATGAGGCAGCAGGGGAACTCACACTGGAAGGCTGAGCAGGAGCACCTTGGGATGAGCCATAATGGAGGCCAGGAGGGGCCGCCATATTAGAGAAGCCACCCTCATAAGGATCATGCTGGCTCCCGCCTGGGAGGGACAGAGGTTTTATAATTTAATAAGACGAGAGTCTAATCAGTGATATGACAGCCTTACCTTTTTTAGCAGGAAAGCAAAGGACACTCCAGCTTAACAGTGCAACAAGGAGCAACTGACTGTAAAAGAGAAACAGCATGGTCAAACACTTCAGTAAAATAAACAAACCATAAATAGAACATGAACAAGCCAACAGTAATCTAACCAGTACATACCTCACAGGAAACCAAGTAGCCATTTTGCTTGTCAGCTGAAATGATGTCTTCCTCTCTTACAGAGCACTGGTTAAATACGAAACAGGAAGCGCACAGTGGCCAATCACAGACTGAGAAGGTAACGATGGACAGGTGTTCATCATTGACTGCTGATTGGAAATGTCAGCATGCCTTGGAAGGTGTGAGCCACACACTTCACCCTTCTACTGAGAAAGTGGTTCAAAACCATCTCATATGCAAATCACATTTAATAGACAGTGAGTTTATACTGCTCCAAACTGATTTTTTACACTGCTTGTCCCTTTTTTCTTTTTCTACTGTCTCAGATAGGAACAACGACAACAGGGGCACTCATTCAGAAGATGTTGTGCACTGTTTCGCTATGGTTTTTGGGTTGAACGTGTTTGAAATCAGTATAAAACAGGCTGCATTACATTTTCTTAAGTAGCTCTGCCAGAGGTGGATTGTATAATTAGGGTGTTTTCACACTTGGTCCTTTTCAGCCTTCTAAAAAAAAAAAACTCTGAGCAGTGACTCAGCAGTTTTTGCGCATATGTGAACACTCCAACAGAACTCGGACTCCTCTAAAGCAAACCTAAGTTTTGTTCGCTCCTGTGAACACAAAGCGCTCCAGGTTCATTGTGCTCTTTGCCATTATATTTAGCCCACTAGATCACATGCTATTGCACTGGGACACTTGAAAAATTAGACAAAACCACATCAGCCTGTAACGCTTGCAAGGACGCAGGACAGGGAGGAGTTTGGAAGATACTGCATGTCTCCAAATGTGGAATGTAGAATACATCAAACAGCAACAGTCTACAGCACAGAAACGCTTAAGTTTTCCTCCAACTTTAAGTTCATCTGAAAGCGACAGGCTTCATACCGCACTGCATTGTCATATCAAAGTAAAAACAATAAACTATGTCAGTATATATTAAATATAGTGTGAAAGAAAGAGGACTGAGGCCCCATCAGAGCTGAAATTGACCAGAAAGAGAAGTGAGTCCTCTTTCAAAAGAACTGACAATGTGATCTGTTGGTTCACTTTAAGAGGACTGAAAACACCCCGAGAGCAGGTGCCCCATGTTCAAAGGCATTGTCCTTGCCACAGCAGCCCAGGTTCAATTCCAAGATTGGCCCCCTGCTGCATGTCATTCTCCCACCTTTATGCTGAGTATATCCTATCTAATAAAGGCATGAAAAGCCAAAAAATGTTTCACTTTTTGCTATATACAGTATCTATTATAAATCTACTTTACATGTATGTTTTACAAATACAAAAAAAAAACAGCAACTGATAAAAGCAGGTTAAAGTGCCATGGATGTTTTTGATTGTTCGGGATGGTTATAGCAGGAGGAATGACAGATTTCTTGTAGATGTTTTTTCAGGCCAGTGTGACTTTGTAGCGCCTGACTGATGGCAGTAACTGGAAGGAGCGGTGGAGGGGGTGAGAAGGGTCCTTCAGGGTGGCTTTCCTGATCACTGAGTGGTTATACAGTTCAGATAGAGGACAAGTTTGGGGTGAGCCGATTGCTGTGCTTGCCTGATTAGTTATTGCAGGATATTGTAGCTCCTGTCACTGTTATGTTTTATACGATTTGCTGAAGGCCTCTTGATTGGTTTTGCTCACCCTAATGGTGGAACATAATTATCTCATCACCATCATGGCCTATATGAGAGATCAGTGCCTGTGTATGACTGTGATTGTTGATCTTAAAGGAGGCCTGAGGGCCGAAACCTCATCTGAATAAAGGAGTGTGTAGCAGCTGTTTCCTACTTTCATGTGCCAGAGGTGCAGCAACATACTATACAACCTTGCTGTATCAAAAAGGCAGTGCACTTGCATAACACAACATATACTAACAAGGTTCTTAAAGCACCATGTTCCCATTTAAATAAATGTTTTGCTACATTTCGTCGGGGCTGAATGCGCCCCAGATGTTTCTGGGACCACTGATGAACAGTGTTTTCTGTGTGCAAGCAGTGTTGTGTTGTGCACATGTCCTTTTGTTGCTTGTCATCCATAATCTATCCAGACAATCACCCCTGTCGGTTATTCAGTGTCTAAAGCCAAAATGCTATTACATAAGTACTATTTGCCAAACACGACCCCTCTCTGCGGTGTAGCATTTGGCAGCAGTGAAAACGCACTCCTGGGCCTTCATGACAACATGACTGCAAATGTCTGCTATAGGGAGTGCGTACTTTAGTTCCTGTGCAATGGCGGCAATCTGCTCCACTCTGTCCTGGTGGGCTGCCAAGTCGCTCTCAAAGGCCTCGTGTTTTCGCAGCAATGCTCTGACTTCTGTCAGGGTGGATGTTTCATAGTCCTTCTGGGAGAGGATCAGTTCTTTACCTGGATATCACACATGTGCGAAGAGAGACGGAGAGAGAGGTGGATGAGGTTAAAGAGGGGAACAACAAGATGATTGGTATGTTAGGTCTCAACGCAGGCCTTATTTGGTCATTGCAGATGGAGAAAATGACCCGTTGCAGACCACTACAGACTGATTGCATTGGACAGACTCTAAAACCTTCAATCAGGTCTCATTAGGAACAAGTCTAAACAAACCCCAAGGTTAGAGGAAACACTGAAAAGCAGCCAGCGAAGCAGGAATACAGATGCCTGCAGATAAACAGAGAGCTAATAAGTAAACAGATAAACATGCAGACCTATTGAAACACTAAGCACAGCAGTAAGAGATGGATAAAACAAGCAAGCAGGCAGTAAAAATGCCAAATGTACAACTACAACTGACCGCTGGCCCAGTTCTCATGATTGGTGGCTTTTTGGCGGAACTTTTCAGCCAGGTGGTCCAGCCTCTCCAACCTGCGGATCTCTGTGAGGAGCCACTCCTCGTAGCCTTTCTCCGCCTGCTCCAGGCCCTGCCATGCACTGGCTATGTCCTGGACACAAGATGAAAAAAACAAACACCACAGTTTCCACTCACCTAAGATACTTAATCTCCTTCGACCCAAGCTTTTGTTTGGCATGCATATTTAATTTCTCCAAGCTATTTTGGATTAGCAGGATCTGGTAAGTATTACAAAACTCAGCACTGTCTTTGAACAGTAAATAGTTTTTGAAAAAAAAAAAAAATAAATAAAAACTCACGTGAGGACACTGGGTTTATTTTTAATATCTGCAAGTGTGTTTATTAGTGGTGTGTTCACTCAGTGACTGCCTTACTGATGGATGCTGGATGATAAAAAATTTTCTTCAGCTGAACTCAGACAAAACAGAGACTGTTGTCAGTGGGCTGCAGCATGTTACTCAACAAATTTTGCCTTTGGCTGCTCCCCTATCGACAATCTCGGAGTCTGGTTTGACAGTAATTTAAGTTTTGAGCAGCATGTCACCAAGTTTGTGCAATCATGTTTTATCATCTTAGAAACATTTTCAAAATATGATCCATTTTAACTTTCAAAGGCACAGAGACAATTCTGCACGTCTTCATCTCTTCACCTCTGTCTGAACACAGCTGTGCAAAAACAAAATTGGAAATAATGCCACATATCTAAAAACCTTGTGATCTGTTCATTTTGTAAATGCATACATTTTACTTGCTGCATACCCCAAGCTACGAACATCCTTTTTGTCTGCAGAACAGTCTGTCATATCTAATTGGCCTGTGTGAAATGCTGCATAAGTACAATAATAAAGTCCCAATGTCCTCAAACAAGTACTTCCTAATCAACAGTGTCTTAGCTTGTTACTGTTGCTAAAATTGGTCAAATTTGTTGCCTTATCAAACTACAAACATTAAATCATAATTAAACAAGTTTCAACCATAAAATGTGATCAGGTTTTGGACCTTGTCCACTTTTGTGTCGGGATCGGCTGCAGACTGACTTAGCAGAGATGGCTGCCATCTTGTTTTTACATGGATTAGTGTATTGTGCTCTTCCTACCACTAGATGGCGCATAAAAGTGTCTACAGACAGGACAACAGGTCTAAATTGAGCTGAAAGAAGAGATGCGCCAAATCCAGACTGTAATGTCATCATGTGAGAACAAGGGGTCACTAAAAACTACTTAATAAATATTATTTGAAGCTGAGCTGTAGACTTTCAGAACCTGATTCTTCATCCTTTGTAAGATTTTACCTCTTGACATGAAGTGGAGCACACAATCCCAAACATGTCTCGGCTGTTAAATTAGGAGCAGTGGAAGGATTTGGAGATGTGACTTACAGATACCATCTTCCCCTCAGAGGGCATGAAGGCAGGGCGATTGCTGATGCGCAGCTTGGTCTGCAGGGTGTTGAAGTTAATTTCCAGCTGGCACTTCTCCTGCACCTTCGGGGGCTTGTGCTGGCGTCGGTAGTCCCTGAAGTCCTCCAGCTTCCGCTGCATCTCCGCCATGGTCTTCTCTGGGGTCCGGTTCTCCAGCCAGGGAGTGGTGCGGCGGATCCACTCCAGCAACTGGGAAACAAAAAGGCAATGTGGGATAAAAGCGGAGAGGCGAGAGAGCTCCACGTTAAGATATCAATGTGTCAGGAAGACTGTGATTAATGATTAATTTTTTTCAGTAGATGGGCCTCAGCTTATCACAGCAGTGGGGTACACAAGTAAGTAGTTTTACTCTGAACTACTTTTATGTGAGAGGCAGAGGGCAAACTTTACTGTAATACAAGCTGTATATATCATTATCCACAAAGGTTCCAAAGTTTAATCTCGCCTTGGAAAATCAAAGTTTTCATTGCACAATGTGTCATCATCTTCCAAAAAAAAAGAGTCTTTTAATTAAATTTCAAATCATGCATTACCTCACTGGCCAGTCTCTCATACTCCTCCATCAGTTTCTCATTCTCCTGGTTCACGCCGAGCACCTTACAGATCCTGTTGGCAGCCGTCTCTGCCTGAGATCACAGGGGCATGGGAATAATGTAATTACATCAGGAAAGGCCATGCTCCCATTGATCCTTACATATTCTCATTCTCACATACATATGTGGATCAGATTCAAACTGGCAATAGATTGTTGAACCTGTGGAAAGGGATAGCTAACTCGTCTGGAAATAGAAATTGGTAAGGTGATGAGTTCAACTGCTATACCTGCTCGGCTCCAGCAAAAGCATGGTAAAAGCA